TATAAGCTATCCTATCATGTGGTTACAGGTGGGCACTTCCTACAAGTGACTTCTTCCAGGTCTTATAATTTCTCACATCTACCCATGATGCTTCCACATCATGGTTTCCTGAACTTAGGTCACCCCTCTCTTTACAATGTTAAGATCATCATTAATTAACACAGTAACCACTTCACCTTTTCCAAGCTCCCTGGCCTTCACAAATATCTTGTATCCTTTAAGATTCAGGGCCCAATCTACATCTTCCTGTAGCCACATCTCTAATGGTGACCAAACTGCATTTTCCATTTGCGCTGTCAGTACCTGACCAGAGACAGTCTGGTCAGGTATGAAGTTAAGTGTTTGGGAGGTAGTTGGAGGTAGGATATTTGTTGCCCAGGGCTGAAATTGGTTAAAACTCGGATGGAGAAATTGCAAGTCACTCAAGTTGAATGAGTGTTAATAGTGAATATGGTAACAGCCACTGCTACCCAGAACCAATAAGGAAAAGGAAATGCAAAGATAGTAGGAACTGCAGATGCTGGAAAATCTGAGATAACAAGGTGTAGAGCTGGATGAACACAGCAGGCCAAGCAGCATCAGAGGAGCAGGAAAGCTGGATCTGGTGCTTAGCAACATGATGTGGACATCCCTGATTAGAAGAAGATGATAAGAGGTTCAGGGACAAAACAGAGCATGACCTGAAATCTGCAGCATAACTCTGGAAAAAAGCTGCACAGAGGCAAGTCCTTGCCAGAAGGCAGGGTGAAGGCAACAAACAAACTGCAGCCTGTCCAGCTGACCATTCCTGGGTATTGTTTTTCAGCTAAGTGCAGTATTCAGTTAGCAAAAAGGTGACTAATGTGGTTTCCTTTAACCAATTATGATTTGTATTTGGGAATAATTTTGATACTTGATAGCTTGGATACTTTTGAGAATAAAAGAGTGAATTGGTTAAGTTACAGAGTGCTCTATACTCACTCCCATTGAGGTTAACTGTTGCCTCGGATAGAGACAGCCAGCAACGTTTTAAAAACAATTCATACAAAATACTAGGGATGGGGGTGAACGAAAAGAACAGTAAGAAAATCATGACTAATTCAACTGGAAAATACTGGTTGGAATAATAAATCATTCATGGGAGGAAGGCTGACAAAGAAGAACTTCAAGGAATTCAGGCAAACACTGCAAATGGAAGTCTTTTAAACATTCGAATAACTAGAACACATTTGAATAAAGATGCAAATATCTGAACTGATTCTGCAACAAGAAAAAAGCCGGGTATATGTGAGAGGTGGAGTATTGAAGTTCTGAGACTGAAATCCTTAAATAATTAACAAACATGCATTCACAGCATGTGTCCTCCAGATATTTCAAGCTACTCCCAGCCAATGATTTACTTTGTGAAGTGCAACAACAGTCATTATGCAGGAAAGTGCAGTATCTAATTTGCATAAATGGGTCAAGATCGTGTTTCTGTTGCTGTGGGTTGGGATGAATTTTTCTCCGGAATATCAGGAAATCTCCCCATTCTTTCAGATCCACATAAGCAGGCAAGTAACAATTGATTTAACATCTAATTTGACAAGTGTCCATCACTCCACTCACTGTCAGCTATTACAGTCATAGAGATGTACAGCGTGGAAGCAGACCCTTTGGTACAACTTGTCGGTGACAGCCAGGTATCCTAAATTAATCTAGTCCCATTTACAAGCATTTGGCCCATATCCCTCTAAAAATCTTCCTATTCATGTACCTATCCAGATGCCTTTTAAATGCTGTAATTGTATCAACCTCCACCACTTCCTCTGGCAGCTCATTCTATACATTCACCATGAAAAATGTTGCCTCTCAGGTCCCTTTTATATCTTTCCCCTCTCACCTTAAACCTATGCCCTTTAGTTTTGGACTCCCCTCCACTGGGAAATAGACCCTGGCTATTCACCGCACCCATGCTCCTCATTTTTCTATAAATTTCTATAAGGTCACCCGTCAGCCTCCAATGCTCCAGGGAAAATGGCCCCAGTGATTATCCCAAATGATTACTTTCTACCTCCCTGACAGACATCAGTCATGCTCTCTGAAATTGGGATGTATACTCTACACACATCCGTGTCCAGCTTTACACTGGAGAGTGTTCCTACATTATCAATAAAGCTTTTGCTCTTTCTAACATACTGAGTCCACAGATAGGTGAACACCAGAATGATATAAATTTATATATTGGTTCTGATATCTACAATTGACCTTAATACCTAAATAGGTACAAGATACATATACAGCTACTTTTGAGTTATGAATCTTAAAAAATAACAGACAACAAGCTCTGAATCTAATAGCCTCTGCTCGAAAATGAGTGTGGACATCATGAGGATATGATTGAATTTAACTATGCTGCTTCTATGATCAAACAGTCTGGTGATGCTTATTTTTCATATTACATTGTGAGAATGATCGAGGAGGAGACTTGCAACTGAATACAGAAGGAGCACTATTCCAGTCAATCTAAGACCCGCTTTTCACAGATTATTGCACTGCTGCTATTCTTTAAGTATCTTATTGTCAATAAATCTTGAATTATCACTCCATAAACTGAGTCTTCCTAGCCCTGAATATTGGATCCGTTCATTTCCTCTCATATCTGCAAAGTAGAATGTTCTCTGTAAATGGACCCTGTCATCTCACTGTGTAGGAGGTTAATGAGGTCTCATCTGTCTGAAAGAATTTCATAGAGAATAATAAATGGTTGCACAGCAGATTGCACACAAGTAAAAGTCATCATCAAAACATCCCCACAGGGACTGTACCCACTCCCAACAGTGTATTCAGAAAGCGTCTGTGGAGAAATGTCATGCAATTACGTCCCTTATTTTATGAGACTTTCAGAGGCATATCAGAAGAAAGGGTAAAAAAAAGTGAGTCAATTCACATTCTGACAGTTGAAGTGGTGTGCACATGGGTGATCAGGAACACGTTGCTCAGAGGCAACAGTTTATAAAGGAGGGAACTGAGGAGGGAAGAACTACATGGGCATGAAGTATCATTTGAAAATAGTACTAATGTCAAGCTAAGAGTGTAGGGCCAACTCAACATTTGGCCACTTTGTTAGCCAGATGAATGTCGTAGAGGTGATTCTAACAAAGAACTGTGGATGCTGGAAATCTGAAACCAAAACAGAGAAACACAACAGTTCTGACAGCAACTGTGGACAGAAAGAAGAGTTAACGTTTTGTGTATGTTAGCTAATTTATTTACCAGATTTATTTGTCAAATTGTTGTCACTTATTACTGACTAGTCCAGATTATTCCACTGGTTCAATGTTTACAATTGTTCATTGACATCTTATTGTTTAAGTTAAGAATAGATATGTTAGCTACTCAGCGACTCCCTTTTGCTGCCCAGCCATTGATACTGAAATTCAGTTGTTGGCAGTCCCATACTGCCTTTCTCTTAAGGCTGAAGAGTATGTGGCTACTTTGAGGAAGGAACAGTTATCAGTCAATTCTAGTACAGCTTCTCTCATTTATTATGATACATAATATGACCACACACAAGGCCACAGCAAGAAGGCAAAAGTTGCTGTGGAGAAATCATTGTGTTTCATCCACAGAAAGTCTTTGCAAACAGTTTTACTCAAATAATGATGGCTATTTCCATCCCTGTATGTTATGTGATTTGTCTCTTGCATCTGCTCATATGCTGCTGGATGTTGTGCTGAACATGATACCAAATGAAACAGAGATAGTAGGAACTGCAGATGCTGGAGAATCTGAGATAACAAGGTGTAGAGTTGGATGAACACAGCAGGCCAAGCAGCAAGAGAGGAGCAGGAAGGCTGACGTTTCGGGCCTAGACCCTTCT